CCTGCCTCCCGGCTCAGCCCGGGACCCCGCCGGCCGCGCGCCGACCACTGCGCGCCCCGCTACGGCTGCTTGGTTTTGTTTTTAGATATTTTGTTCATATTTCAAGGAGGAAAACAAAGAGAGATGCTTCTGTAGAAATCTTCTGAAGTTGGAATGTGTGGCAAATAGGACCAGGATAAGAATGTATATTGTCTGTAGTTTGATTTATGAAGGTGGCTGAAGTATAATAAAGTTAGTTATCTTTGGAAACGTTAAGGTTTATAAAGAAAAAAATAATTAGTTAATAATGTTACTTGCCAGTAACCCTCACAGTCGAACTATATTCAAATGGAAAGCAAGTGGGCAGAGCAGCGCAGGCTGCGAATTGCGCCCCTGGGGCTTAAGGAGCTGGCGGGAGTGATGCCCGACACCTGCATTTTCGTTGGAAGGTATTCGATGGTTGGCTTCTCAAGGGGGAGAAGTTCCCCAGTTCCCAGGACCATCCTCTCCCCACGACTGAGCGGTACATAGACTTCTGTGAGACTGGTCTTAGCAAGAGCATCAGATCCTCCCAGAACGTGGCCATGATCTTCTTCCGAGTCCATGAAGCAGGAAACGGATTCACATTGACCATCCGGACAGATCCCAACCTCCTCCGTGAGTGGCTCTGTCTTCTCGGGTGGGAGGCAGGGGAGGGGTGTGTGTCAAATCTGCCTTCCACGGTCATTGCACAGACTTAAGAAATTTGAAGTGAGGAGTGATTTGAATGGAAATTCTTTTGTAATTAGAAATTTTATTATTATGAAAATCAAACCACAGTTTTTAATTTATTTCCCAGGCTAGATGGGACACTACTCTATGGTGAATAGAATTCTATTTTTTCCTTCCATGTCTTGTTCTAATCTCCTGAGGTACAGTGCATTCAGTGACAACCTTTAATCCCTCCAAGCCATTCCACTCATCTGCAATAAGCTTGAGGGATCAGACATGAAGTTGCAGTTTTAGATATTTAGGCTAAGGCTGAAAGGCTGCATATCTGGGGTGTGCTAGACAGCTTTCATGCCTGGGCAGAAGCTGGACCAGGACCCCAAAGTTGCCTTCTGATTCAGAGCCCCCCACTGTAATTGCTGATGGACATGCTCATAGATGCTAAAAAGCTGAACAGCCCAGGCCTAAAATACATTATCTTAATCAAAATGAGTTCATTCACCTGCTTATTAAAAGAAAAAAATTAACTGGATAAAAGAAAGTGAAGAGATTAGCCAAAGAATATAACCCACAGACACAGACAACATTGTGGTGATGGCGGGGGCAGGGCGGGTGCAGGGGCTGGGTGGAGGCGGGCAAAGAGGGGAAAAGTGGGGACATTTGTAATAGTATCAACAATAAAAATAAGGTAAAAAAATTAATTCAGGAAAAGAAAACTTATTACTCATTTTTAGTTAACACTTCATGTGGTCAAAGAATGGGACCTAATCTGCCAAAGAATAATGTACTGTCTTTTCATTTTGTGTTTTGTTTTTTAATTTTTGAAAGAAGCCCCCAAAAGAGGCTGTTTCTGAGAACTGGAGCAGAATAATCCTAGAGGAAAGAGATGAAATGTTTCTCCTCTATTTTGTTTGGTTATAAATCAGAAACCTTGCAGAATCATCAAGGAATTTCAGTTCCTTTTGAAATTAAGTGCAATTAAAAAATACAGAAGGAGGCAAGAGGTAGTTCTGACCTGTTCTGATCAATCAGAAACTTTTGAAAGGAAAAAAAAGGTACAAACTCTGATGCATCTAGTTTCATAGCTGGAAGAATGAATTTGTAAGTCTAGACTTGGGATACAAAACAAAAAATGTCAGAAACGCTTGGGAATGAATAGAACATTAAAATGTAAAAGCCTGCTTTCTTTCTATTTTTTTTCTCAGCCTATATTTTTAATTGCTTTAGTGTTTATTTGATTACTTAAAAGATAACACGTGGCTACAAATTCAATGAATGAAGGCTTCAGACAGGGTTTGAGTTTTGGCCTCAGATTTAAAGCCTTGATTCTCCCAGGCTCCCGGCTTGCACTTGGACCCTAGTTAACTGAAGTGTTCCTAAAATTTCTAGCAGCTGCTATTTAGTTGGTTGGTCTTGTGATTATTATAAACAAGATAGCCCCCGAGATTTAGATTAGAAGCCCCCGGCAGCCCAGAGCCTCCTTGACAATATCCATATATCACTTGTGACTTTCATTCCCAGCTCCTTCCCACCTCCAGACTGCCTCTGTGAAATGTTCTCTCTTCCGAGCCACAAGGCCCCAGAGGCCCAGACTGTGAGTAGGAGCCTAAAATAAGGATAGGGTAAATGTCGATAAAAACCAGCACACCAAGTACTGAAAATGTGATTTTTTTTTTCCTATGAAGCCTGCAATGTCATTTCCCAGACCTCGAGTGGACGATTCACCCTGATAGTTCCATATCAGCATAGAAACTGCAGCTTCTCCATAATCTATCCTGTGGTGATCAAAATATCTGATCTCTCCCTGGGACACTTAAATGGCCTGCAGTTAAAGGTAAGTTGCTTACTTGCTTTCAAATCATTTACTAAAGCCACAGCTTCATCAGAGCTAAAGTAATCACACAGGGTAAACATGGACATTAGCGAGCTGGAGTAGTATGTCCTTCCGTCTGGCTGATGTCTTACAGGTGTGTCCCCTCACTGCTTTAACTACACCCTCACCTATTTCTGTTATGCTGCAAGTTGCATACTCAGGTGTCCCCTGTGCCTACTTGAATACTTTCCTTGTGATGCAAGAAATGTTTTCAGTTGGTAAATGTGTGGCATATAATTACAATTGAACTCTCTTGTACTTGCCTCTTTAACAAAAATTCTCTCCTAGCAGAACCTAGTGTGAGTCATCTACACAGCTGTTTCTCTGACTACTGGAATTTTCTTTTGACATGAAGGAAGCATCTCATTGGCTGTGTTAAGAAGAAATGCTAAGTGTAGCATAGAATATGAAATTGGATTTTTATGTTGAAAAGTACAGTAAAGTTTTGAAGAATATTTTTGCATTACATTTCATTCAATACTTCAATACCTTTTGCAACAGATATTAGCTGAGACTCTCCATCAACTTGTTTTTCCATGAAGTTCTATATGGATCTTAAAATGAATATTGAGCTTGACCACATTTATTTGCCCTGGGAGCTCCTTCCCTCTGAGTCATGCTCATTTCCTTTCACTTCCTCATATGCTGAGGTTAAGATAGCTCATGTATTTGCTGGCATAAAGGACAGTCATAGTTCCTAATCAGACAGATTTCAGGGAAAGCCAAACAGGACCACGACTAATAAAAAGGAGTATAACTAATTTCCTTTAAGCCCTAAATTTGTGGGCCAGTGCTGTTTTGTTTTGTTTTTTGGACCTTAGTGGAAGAATATTTCTTTGATAAAGACCAGAATAAGTGGGTATCTCTGGCATAGCCTTATTGCCTATTATTGATATTGTTTGTATGTTCTTCCTGACACACAGTATAGAAGACGCAAGTGTAATACCAGACTGGGAGATCTGCACTTCAGTTATTCTTAGACTAGATCTATATTTTGAGTAGCTTGAAGTAAATTTGTTATAGTTGGGAAGGAGAGACAATGGTAACTCTAGGTAACCTGAGACCCAAATTAGGGTTCTCATCTATCTTTAATAGTCTTATAACTAATCTAAATCCTTATCAGTAGAAGTGATAAGGATTGTCTCAATAGCAGAAAAAGTCCTTTATAAAGAAGAGGAAAAGAGGTGAGTTGAAGGAAAAACTAATGCGAAAGCCCTATTTATGAAAACTCTGACTGCATGCACTAACTTAAATACGCCAGTATGTATGTCCAAGTGGTTTAAAAAGCAAAGCATTTTCAGATTCATTTTCCATACATCTTATATGGAGTTTACAGATTCCCATTTCATCATTCCAGCCTTGGAGCTTATTTTAAAAATACACACACATTAAAAAAAATGATTACTCAACTGATTTAGAAAAGCAATTCTTATAATTTTTTCTTTTAAATGTCCTTTAATTTCCGGAGTCCTGGATGTTGAATTAAATGGACTGTCAGAATGTCTATGGCTGATTGAGTGAATTCACCAACTTGCTATTGGTCAAGTGGTTTGACTTCCATAGTTGGTTTAAATATATCTTTCCTTGTCTCTGTTCTCTCAGAAACCCTCAGCAGGTTGTGGGGGGAAAGGAGACTTTGTGGAGCTGCTGGGAGGAAATGGATTAGACCCTTCTAAGATGATGCCTTTAGCTGACCTCTGCTATCCTTTCCATGGCACTGGTGAGATGTTTCTCTGATCATAATTTATGTACTCATCAAGATTATTTCCTTAAGTAAAACACTTCAATTTTTTTATACATGGGAAGGCAAGTCCCACCAAAAAAACTTCAATTTTGCACATTGAGGATTTTACACTTAAGACTATGTATGCTATCAAGAATGCATTACCAAAATTTCTGACCTGGGAGAGAAACCTACAAAGTAACAAGGATGCATGTTTAAGGTTGGCCCTAAGTAAAACTTGGGGAGGAATTGGAGATTATCCTTAAAGAGACAAAAGCAAAACAGGAGAGAAACAAGAGCAGTCGTTAATCTCATGGCAATTTCTTACCATAGCCCCTTTCTGGAACCATAGGTCACTAACCAGTTAGGCAGTGACGCTGCAAATCAGACAGCCTTTGATTAGCTGTTGCATGTTTAAATTAAAATCAAGTCTGCCCACCAGTATTTCCTCTCTCCGAGGTAATACTGGGACCTTAGTAAACAAAACATCTCTGAAATAGAATTAATATGCGCGTGTAAACACTAAGGCCCAACACGTGGTGTTCCACCATTCCCCATTCACTCCTGTATAAAAGAGCTTCAGGTGAGATTTACGCCAGAACTGGGTCCAGGGCAAGCTTTCTAATCAAGGCAAAGGCAAGAAGTTTCTAAGAGCTCCCTTTGCTGAAAACACGGGGATTATTTTATACTACTTTGCACTTGAGCCCTGGTTTAAACTGTCAGTGCAGGTCGCTTCGCTTGCCTTTTGCTTGTGTTCTTTGAGCTGCCGGGTCCTTCCAGGCTGACGGGCATCTGTGAGGAGATGCGTTTGAGCTGGATAAGATTAGATGAAAGACTAAAGAACACACATGCCTTAAGTGTGGATTCAAGCTGGATAATTGAAGCCAGAGTAATTTTGGTGCTTGAATTATATGACTTGCATTAGGTAAAAGGGTAAGACTAATGCCAAAAACCACTTTGCCTTTTCCAGATGATTGAAACTGGTTTTAAAATCATTTGAAGGCTTGAATTCTATGGCTCATTGGTTCATTTTTTTCACTTTTTTCTTTCATTCACCATGTTTCCAAGAGCCCCTCCTGAGTTGTTCAGACAATGAAGAACTACTAGGGACCCTGCTCTTTAAATTTGATTTTCTTAGTAATATGTCATATAATAAATAAATAATATGCACATTAACCAAAGGAAATGGGGCATGCCATGTAGATTAAAGTTCAGAGCAAGATCAGAAAAAGAATGACCTTCCAAGTCACTTAAGGAAAATTAAATTTGGACCTCTTCGTAGAAGCATACCGCAGACTCCCTGGTTCTTATATTAAAATAATTATAGGGTTTATATTTATTATGTCTCCAAATTGACTTTTACCTTAATACATAACTCTATCTGGCTATTTTACTTCACTTAAACCCAAGCACATATTTGTAAAGTACCAGCTACATAATAATGCTAGTGTTTCTCAGACACAAAGCTGAGAGACAGAGACTGAGAATATTAAAACGACAGAAAAGATTATTGTAAGGCAGATAAATCTTGTCTCAGGAGTCAGCTTGTGGCTGGAGGAATAAAATAAAAGTAATTTTAAATAAAAGAATGAGTTTCAACATATAACTGCTCGGGCACATCTGCACCAGAAGATACATAAACGTTGCCAGATGGTCATACAAATAATGACTAAGATTGGATTTAAGAAAAGTAAGATTATCAAAAGTCATTCCATGTGAAGCACAGGAAAAAATGAGAAACAGTGTAGGTGTTCAATAGGACAAAAATGAATACATTCACTGTGGCATATCTAAATCATGCAAAAGATGTTTTGTTTATATGTAAAACAGGATTATTATGTAGGCCCAAAAAATAATAAACAGGTGATCTTTTCGGTCTACATACCTGTTGAGCAGTACAGCTTATCCTCTAGCCCTGTCCACTAAATACCACTTGCACACCCAGATGTTATGACAACCAAAAACTACCTCTGCAAATTTCCAGCCTGTTCCTGAGGATGTGCTGTCTCCACTGAGAACACTGAACTAGAGCGAAGGCATAGTGTGGATAGATCCCTGCCTTTACCACCAGAGCCTTGCAGGTGGGAGATGAAAAGTGCAGGAGACATCTTCTGCCTGCCTCTGCAGCCAGAGTTATTTGGCTGACAGTGTTCTTGCACATGAGGAGAGAAGCTGAGTTCAACTTAATGATTCTGCAATTAATTACATATTCTGATAAAAATGAAGACAAAAATGTTTTACCCAATAACAGGGGCATGGTTTGAGTACGTAAGAGGAAGATACACTCTCTCTCTTTCTTTGTGTTTAAATGATCTTGTTGACAGAAGTGGTTTTACTGTGTGGCTTCTAACTTGCTGGGAAACTTTTACTTTCTCCATGAATTTCAGCCCAAATGAAAATTGGCTGTGACAACACGGTGGTGCGCATGGTTTCCAGCGGAAAACACATAAACCGTGTGACTTTTGAGTACCGCCAGCTGGAACCATATGAACTGGAAAACCCAAATGAAAACAGTATCCAGGAATTCTGTTTGTCTGGCCTTTGAATAATCAGTCCAGTGATTTACATGCTGCTAGCTAAGTGAGTGTTAATGGCTATTACATGTGATTTTGATGACCACCTAGTTTAAAGCCTTTCATACCATCAATATTCACAGTCTTGAGCACACATCTCAAACACACACACACACACACACACACACACACACACACATTTTTGTACCTTGCTTCTTTTTAATTTGTAATATATAAATGACCCCATGCCCCCTTGGTAGGAAAACAGTTTTCTGTAATTCTTTGGTATGCTACAAACCTGAGCTGGTAAGACAAGGGCAGAGCAATGTGCAATTTAAAAAAATGTATCAAGGGAAAATGCTACAAAGAAATAAAAATGGTGACACTCGTATCAGCTTTGTAACACAAAAACAATTCAGTGACTGTATATACCAAAGTGGTTGCTTCTGTTTATTTGTATTCTGCTTATTTTTCCATTTACAGTGGATAATAGTTGTAGCTACTACTTACTGATTTGCAGCAACTTGTTTTTAACAAACCTTTGTAGCAAAGAAAACTTTTTCCATCCATAAACATAAAAGTGAATAAATACATTCGGGATGTTGGCACCTTGAAATTATGCCTTGTTTTCTGAGTCATCTCCTCCCTTGTTACCATCAAGAAATAATGTTCTCATGTGCTGCACAACCAAATGCTACACAAAATCATTTTAGACTCTTAGAGCTAGTGGAGCCCTGGCCACTGGAGTAGAATTATTTAGAGTAAAAGGTAGATTACAGTATCTGCACAAACAACACTAACTGATGGGTCCTGACAGGGAAGCAGGATGCAGGGATCCCTTCTCCACCATCCTCCAAGAAAACTGAGAATACATGTTCTTTGTCACAGTGGGTACTTTTCAACAAGGACAACAGGGCCTTACAACTCTCATAGACACAATTTGCAGAAACCCGAGTACTTCTTTGGTACTGAAAGCGGTTCACTGTTGACTGAGCCTTGTCCATATTTGTCTTGAGACTAAGCATGTGGTCTATAAAAGACACTTGGGGCCAAAAATGAGGTCCTGAGCAACAAAGGAAATACTCCTAAGTGATATCCTCTTTACTTTGAATTAATGGATGGAAACTACAAACTGTGCCATAAATAATGGCCTTATTAATTTTTTTTTAGATCTTTTTAAAATATATATTTTTATTGATTTCAGAGAGAGGAAGGGAGAGGGAAAGGGAGATAGAAACATCAATGATGAGAGTCATTGATCGGCTGCCTCCTGCATACCCCCTGCTGGGGATCGAGCCTACAACCCGGGCATGTGCCCTGACTGGGAATTGAACCCTGATCTCCTGGATCCTAGGTCGATGCTCAACCACTGAGCCAATCCTGCCAGGCTTAATGGCCTTATTATGATTCCTGAACATATTTGATATAAAGTTCATTTTATAATGGAATGTCACTGGAATCCCATACACGAGGCTTGTTAACAAAATCTGAAAAGCAGGCAGAAAGAAAAATATTGATTGAAAGTGCTAAAAATACCCAGGATTTAGCACAAATTTTGGCTCAGTAGATATTTTGTAATGAGTGAATACTTTAGCAGATGAATGAATAAATACCTGATGGGTGGTTGGATGGATGAATAAAGCTGGGATAAATGTTGGGATGAAAGAATAAATGCCTGGATGGACAGATGGAAGCTGGAATAAAGCCTGGGATGAAAAAATAAATGCCTGGATGGATGGCTATGTAATTCCTGATTAGTTATAAGATGTTGGATTCCTTATTTCATAGAAAACAAATTCTGTGAAGTTGAACCCTTCTATCTTTTTTACAGTCTCCCGAGCAACCTAAGAATCAGTGCAGTCACTTATCCCACCTTTAGAAGTCTCTGGCTTTTCATGCCCATCATCCCCTTGTGCTGCACAGAGAAAAAGGCCTGGGGTAAAGACACAAGTATTTTACTGTGGGAGTCAGGATAACCTGCTTTTATTCCTCAGGGACATTTCAAAAACCACTTAGCCTCTCTGCACTAGAATGGGTGGGACTCTTGTCCCTAAGTTTTCTTCTAACCTTGACATCCTGCGGTGACTCATTTGTGACATATTTTATTTCAAAGCTTGTTACTGCATAATAGTGTACATTCTTTGAGAGGATGGCCACTGCATGACTCATTCTCTGGAGATCCATCACTTGTCTTCATTCCAAAGGAGGGGACAGCTTTCTGAAATAAAATTGTAGATGAGATCTCTGGGGGAGACTTACAGGATGTGTCTTCAATGGCACCTCCATTAATCAAGTGAAACATTATATGAAGTTTAGGCCAAATTTGACTTTCTAGAAAGGCAGTATTCATAGTGGTTAAGGTTCTGGACTTTGGAGCCAGATGTTTTTGAACCCCAGCTCTGCCACTTACTTGAGCAAGTCACTTACAAGTGCCTGTTGCTCAGTTTTTAATCTATAAAATTGAGGCAATAAAGACATATCCTTCAAATAAAGACCTCTGTCAACATTAATGGCTAAATATATCTAAAGCCTGAGAATAGTGTCTTCCACATATGAGCTGTTATTTTTATTTCTTCTAAGCAAATATGCCACCCCAGGTCCTCCATACTCTTAGTGAGGCATTTGCTTTGTGCACTGAAGGGTTTATACTGATTTGATTGTCCTTTTTTGTCCCAGAACATTTGTGAGGAAGCTAGGGTTAGCTAGGGTTGTTGTCTGCGACAGAGAAGCAGAGTAAGGTTACTGGGAACATTTGAGGATGGGTCATTGTCAGGCCCTCTCAGGTCTCCATGTGCCTCTCCTCACAGCTGACCCCTATCTGTAAGCTCTGCACTCCTTCAGGGTCAATCCTGACTGTGGAGAGGAGGAATTTGAACAGCTCTTGTCCAACATGCTGGTCATGAAGGAGTCACCTCACAGCCTGTCTTGACTCTCGGCTGTGCCCAGGCCCCCTCTCTGTAATCTATCTCTTGATTGTTTCACCCTGGGTCTTGCCTGATCCTACTCTTACCCCAGCTCCTAACCCCACATCTTCCTAAGTACTAATTAGGTGACTTGGGCTCTACTACTGAGCACTCAATTCCCAAAGTCCTCCTGCCTCCATGCCTAAAATTCTGAGCATTTTTGCTCATACATTTTAGGTCACTGTGTTCTTCACTCTGGACACCTTTCTACCTCCCATAAGCCTGCTTCTTCCACTGTTTTCCAGCACATTTCTGTGGAATATGCTGGTCTTCCTATGACATTGGACTTTCTTCCAGTATCTAGAGCAGCATGTCTTCTTCACCCCCAAACTTTTCCTGGTACTAATGCTTCATTTAAGACGATAGGGCAGAAATGCTATATGTTCACCAAAAGTCATTTCTTTTACCTCCTGAGAATGCAGTTAGACTACATTTTCAACCTCCCTTACAGTTAGCTTTGGTCCTGTGACTGAATTTTGATTGAAGGAGTGTGGGTAGAAGTGATGTCCAACCCTCATGTAATCCACTATACTTTCTTCCCCTATCTATTGGCAAGATATTGAGGTTCTAACAGAGGACTTCAAGGCTATAGATGAAGGCAGAGCCATAGGATACAAGGAGCCTGGATCCCTGAATGACCACATGGGAGGCTGTTTATTGATCAGGAATTGGACTTTGTGTGAATGAGAAGTAAACTTTTATTTTGTTAAGCTACTGAGATGATGATATGATGATGATGATGATGATGGGATAGCACTTAGTATCACTATATTTCATACAATGAAATTCTATTCACACCTGTCTGAATTCTATTCACACCTCTTCTCTAATTTCCCTGACTGGTTTTGCTGCAGCTAACTAGACAGGCCTGATCTGATTGTCTTCCAGAGAAAAATACCCCAAATGCATATCTTTGATCTCATGAACACCAGGTTTTATCTGGCATCATTTTATTTTCTACATTCCTTAAAGAATCTTCTAAGAATAGTGATTTTTCGATTATATCTCTTTGAAAATCTGACAGAAACTACAGGTCATCTCCCAGAAAAGAAAAAAAAAAAAAAAAGCCCACATATACAAGAACATCCCCAAATTTCTGAGAGTTCACAGATCCTGGAAGCCCATCCAAGGTTTCAGGATCAGAATCTCTGCTCTAGGAGTAAATAATAAATAAAACCAAGTTTAAGACCACTCTTCTCAAACTCGCCTGCCCTCCCTTCAGTATTGTTAAAAACATTCAAGGGTTAATTTGGCTGCAAAATAAGTCCATAATAGCAACTTAATGTTTCTGTTTTTATAGTTTACTGTTTAATTTTGCCTTTTACTACATGGTTTTTTCTGGCCTGCTATGTAGTTTTTGCTCAGGGAGGAAATACATTTGATACAGGGCAAATTTTTGTGGCAAAGATCCTTGCAGGTCTCTCCTAACTTCAAATTTTCCTTTCTTGCTATTTTAACAGGGAGGCAACATTGCCAGAGTTTGCCTGAAAAATTGAATCTTCATGAAAAAAAAATAAAGATTTGATGGACAGGATTTACTTGGAAACAGTTGGTTTATGTGCTTAGCAACACCTGATAGAGGGTTGTGGATAGGAGCTCCTATTATAGGGTAATCACATGAAATTATATCTGAATACACTCTTATTTGTGCAGTGGAGTATTTCAGAAGAGAGAAACACCTTCATATGTTCAAATAAGCAGATTGAATGGCCTCAGTTCTAATGGGGCATTTGTAATGATTACCATCCATTTTTCTCTTTGCACTTGAAAGTTTTTTTTTTCTTGCATTAAGACATACTGTGCAAAGAGAAAGAAGCACAGAGGCGAGAGAGGAAATATGGGTAAGGCTTGATTAGATGGTTCAAAACATTATGAAAGTCATGGGACTCTGGGTTTTGCTCTTGGTAACAGCTGTGTACTCAATCCCTGTGCAGCTGAAAAATTGAAAATGAGAAGTGTTTTTTGCTTTAAGGAGAAGACTGAATGTCCTGCCAGGACATACAGCTGGATGAGCTAGAGCCATGGTCGATGTGTCTAGATGGGTTACCAGATATTGGGGTTTCCTAGAAAGAAGATGGTCTCCCCATCTCCAGG